GGAACGCCTTCACTTTTTCCTGGAACACGTCGACAAACTGCTTCCCATCAGGAATCACAAACAGCTTCTTGAATTGCTTGTACAGATCCTCCGACTTCTTCCTCACTCCATTGTGCTTCACTTCACGCAGCTAGAAACAGCAAAATACCAGGGATGTCAAGAGGGAAAAATGGTCGGACACAAGGTAAGTTAAATTAGATAACATCAATGTAAAATCTTGGGACAAGGTAATCAAAATTGATGCTCCTACATTCATGTTACAAAAAACTGAACTTGATCTGAGCCTACACCAGCAAATGCAAAAGAGTATGAAAAATGAAATGGAATGAAAAATATATTGATAATTACTGATACCTGCATAGAATAGGGACACAAAGAAAACACCGAAGTACTGACTTTACTATGAACAATGCCTTTTTTTTATTAAAATTTCACTATTGGAGTTTGTAGAATGAAGGAAATGCCATTGAATACCTTTCGGATGCAATGAACAATCGCAGGGTGCTTAATGAGCATGAGAGGTGCAAGCTGAGTAATGGAAGGAGCCTTCTTCAGGATTGCAGCCATTTTGTCATAGTCACATGGCTGCTTCTTCTGCTCCCCCTGGACCTCCTTCAGCATGTGACTCCATGCCTGCTCTAGCTTCATCCAACTGCAGCACAATAAAGAAGAATAAAGGTAGCCAAGAGCACTCCATTAATGCTGGCTCCCATCTTCAGTTAAAACTAAAACAAAAATAAAGCTCCACATGATATCATTTACATGCCTACTTAATCCATTTACATTGCCAACACAAGACAGAGTCACATTCTGAACTTCTTGGACCAGGCTTGGGTGAAATCTCATCTTGCTATGTGGTATCTGGCCACTTGGTACAGTAAATTCTAGGCCTAGACGAATCCTGACACACTATGGGTTCCTGCTCTTAAACATTTTTTACACTTCTGGGGTTGAAAACTGCAGGAGCATCACCCTGTCCTTAACTAGGCAATTTTTAGAAGGGCAGTAGTCAATAAGCCCTTTTGATTCTATAGGCTCAACAACTCTTGGTCTGAGGACTCCAAAAGCAATATTTGCAGAAGAATGACTTACTTGGGTACATAATACTTATGACACAGTGTTTAAGACCTTCAATTTTTCTATTGCACAAGGACAGTACAAAAGAAGTTGTACATGCAGACCAACATGGGAGTCCTCTATCTCCCTTCTCTCTGCTCAAAATATTAAGCTATATCTTTTGCAGGGGAGCAACATGGCTGATCAGAATCAAGACATACAGAATTTCAAAATTATTTTGCCCTAGAACTGTTAACTGTCAATTTTATCTACAGCTGGCAGTTCTAGGGTTAATTTTATTTGTACCTCAAGATCGTCGTCAATATGGAGGAACTGGAGCAGATGCCTTATGTATAGGGTAGCAGTGCAATCAAGTCTCTTCAGTTCATTAGAATGCTAATAATATACCCCTGACTTTCAGAAAATACAATAAGTATATACTTTCCAGCACATATAAAGCCTCCAGGAAAAATGTTAAACCAAAAAAAGGAAGGTATATTTGACATTAGATTATACCATTTGATTTATGAAAGCACACAAAAGAAGAGGTTTCCCCTGCCAATCATAAGTTTCTCCAGGATCTCCTTCCATGCATTCTAAAGGCAAAATTTCCATAGGATTGGACAATAAACTGATTCTTATTTCCAGCAGGAAGAAGAATCATGATTAACTGACCTATAGTACAAACTGAGAATAAATAGTCATATTTAGATGAATGCAAGGCAACAGTGGAAGCAAATATATACAGACAGAAAGCCAACAGTTAGTCAGCACCTAAACCTGTAATCCATAGGGCATGCAAGAAAAGCCACCAGAATGACAAAGTAACTGAAAATTTTTTTGGTATCATCACAATTACCACTTAGGAGCCTAGGAACAACGTGCAATTCAATTCAGTTAAGTGTGCCATGTGAAGCACCTTTAAAAAAAGAGGCTTACTTGAGCTTAACTTGCTTCTTCCATTTTTTCCGGTCTTCAATGAGATGAGCCTTGAAATCAGGACTGAGATCACCACGTTCGATCATAACCTTCTTCACCTCAGGTGGAATGTACACTCCCCTCACAAGCAAGGACTCCAAGCAGCACATGTTTTCCTTCATTCTCACCTCATAGAACTTCTCATCCTCTTCATTCTGTGATGGAAAATAAAAAGTGCAGGTTTTAACAATAAAGCAAAATTGAGAAATGGCCAAGTGACTGGAATACGGCTAAATTAAAATGCAATTGATGACAGCACACTGAGGAATTTTGTAATCAATATTTCCATAGTAAAATGAACACATATCCCACCCAATAGTATCCAGACAATGCACTTACTTGGAAGACTTTGGGGAGATCATTCCTGCAGGTGACCCGGACTAAATCCCCTGAGGCGCACTTGACCAACATGGTCTTCTTGCGAGGGGACATATCTGCTGGGCTTCCCTTCCCTTTGTCCTTGTCCTTCTTTTCAGGTTCAACATTATCTTTTGCCCTCCCTTTCTTCTCAGCTTCCTTTTCCTTGCACAAGAGAGAAAGGAGTGCTGCTTCCCCTCCGATTCCCTATGGAGGGAAATGCAAATGGGACATTGGAAGAAAAATACATGACAGTCAGAATTCAACCANGTGGGGTCTCGGATGACAAGAAACCTCTTGGCTACATCCATGTCCTTAGTGGCTTCCTGGAACGCCTTCACTTTTTCCTGGAACACGTCGACAAACTGCTTCCCATCAGGAATCACAAACAGCTTCTTGAATTGCTTGTACAGATCCTCCGACTTCTTCCTCACTCCATTGTGCTTCACTTCACGTAGCTAGAAACAGCAAAATACCAGGGATGTCAAGAGGGAAAAATGGACGGACACAAGGTAAGTTAAATTAGATAACATCAATGTAAAATCTTGGGACAAGGTAATCAAAATTGATGCTCCTACATTCATGTTACAAAAAACTGAACTTGATCTGAGCCTACACCAGCAAATACAAAAAAGTATGAAAAATGAAATGGAATGAAAAATATATTGATAATTACTGATACCTGCATAGAATAGGGACACAAAGAAAACACCGAAGTACTGACTTTTCTATGAACAATGACTTCCTTTTATTAAAATTTCACTATTGGAGTTTGTAGAACGAAGGAAATGCCATTGAATACCTTTCGGATGCAATGAACAATCGCAGGGTGCTTAATGAGCATGAGAGGTGCAAGCTGAGTAATGGAAGGAGCCTTCTTCAAGATTGCAGCCAATTTGTCATAGTCACATGGCTGCTTCTTCTGCTCCCCCTGGACCTCCTTCAGCATGTGACTCCATGCCTGCTCTAGCTTCATCCAACTGCAGCACAATAAAGTAGAATAAAGGTAGCCAAGAGCACTACATTAACGCTGGCTCCCATCTTCAGTTAAAACTAAAACAAAAATAAAGCTCCACATGATATCATTTACATGCCTACTTAATCCATTTACATTGCCAACACAAGACAGAGTCACATTCTGAACTTCTTGGACCAGGCTTGGGTGAAATCTCATCTTGCTATGTGGTATCTGGCCACTTGGTACAGTAAATTCTAGGCCTAGACGAATCCTGACACTATGGGTTCCTGCTCTTAAACATTTTTTACACTTCTGGGGTTGAAAACTGCAGGAGCATCACCCTGTCCTTAACTAGGCAATTTTTAGAAGGGCAGTAGTCAATAAGCCCTTTTGATTCTATAGGCTCAACAACTCTTGGTCTGAGGACTCCAAAAGCAATATTTGCAGAAGATTCGACTTACTTGGGTACATAATACTTATGACACAGTGTTTAAGATCTTCAATTTTTCTATTGCACAAGGACAGTACGAAAGAAGTTGTACATGCAGACCAACATGGGAGTCCTCTATCTCCCTTCTCTCTGCTCAAAATATTAAGTTTTTCTTTTGCAGGGGAGCAACATGGCTGATCAGAATCAAGACATACAGAATTTCAAAATTATTTAGCCCTAGAACTGTTAACTGTCAATTTTATCTACAGCTGGCAGTTCTAGGGTTAATTTTATTTGTACCTCAAGATCGTCGTCAATACGGAGGAACTGGAGCAGATGCCTTATGTATAGGGTAGCAGTGCAATCAAGTCTCTTCAGTTCATTAGAATGCTAATAATATACCCCCGACTTTCAGAAAATACAATAAGTATATACTTTCCAGCACATATAAAGCCTCCAGGAAAAATGTTAAACCAAAAAAAGGAAGGTATATTTGACATTAGATTATACCATTTGATTTATGAAAGCACACA